ACCGCTTGAACCTTTCGTCGGATATTCTAGCCGGATTAGGGAAAGGTTGGAGACGTGAGGCAACCCTTACCTATCGCTCGGGTATGGAGGTTCGTCCCGTTCTCCGTGTGGGTACAGTTATACACCTCTACAGAGTTTTGAAAGCCTAAAGTCCCTTGGGACAGAATCATTCGGTTGTTCCTACTTTCTATACCCATAGTAGTATTGTTGATGGATTATGGACCTCTATGTGATATATGGCTAATAACTAAATGCTTTCGTTTTAGGAGTAGAACATGGCATGTCATACTTATAAGCAACGCCATTGCTTTTCTGCAAATGTACAAATACCTGATATTACCATGTGCATCCACCAAATATTATGTGTTGGAATTAAGCCCTGCGAGTACGCAATGTACTCACGGTGCTACCGTTAAGTTGTTTTGCGGGTAAAGGACATTGGCGGCTATCTCACCCCGTCGTTGGTGGCAAAGTGGGTGATTGGCAGGAGCCGTCCAAATTATGGTGGTGACGCCCTGGGTAGGGCAACCACTAGTTAATAGCTATATGAGTGATCCGTAGCATAGTGGTGTTGGTAAGATAGTAGTTGGTCCTCACTACATATGATTGCATTGAATCAATGTCTTCTTTAATGTTGTATAATTAACTTGTTAAATTCAATAAGACTTGTAATATATGTTTTCTGCTGAATTATTGTGTGCTCCGATGATAAGATATAATCTTGAGTTATGGAGACTATTGTGGTATGAAACTCAACCTGATCCTGAAGAGGAGTTGCCAAGTGCGCTCCTGGGGAGTCACCGATGTTGGTTTGTTTAAATTGGGCCAGTCAAGTGGATGACACTCGATTTAGGCGAATTAACATGGCAGGTCCCCACAAATATAAATTCAACACTCGGTACTCACCGAGCGAAGTGCTACGCGATAGTTCTGTGCGCTTACGGAATCCTCCAATAGTCGTTAAGAAATATCAACAAGTATTTCTGGCCCCGTTGCCGGGGAAGGTAACTGGCATCGAATTTATTAGTCTAGATTTGTTAGCTAGGTTTTTAGTTATTCTAAGTAGTTTATCCTTTTTCTGTCCTATCCTATCACTACCCTCCACGACAATGGGTGATAAGTCCATTCATGATTTTTCTGCACTCTCGGCTGCTAATGCAGCCATCGGACCCAATGTTATCAATGGAAACGCTAACTTTGAGCTTAAGCCTGAGTTAATTATGATGGTTCAAGCTAGTCTATTTTGTGGGAAAGCCCATGAGGATGCAAATGCTCACGTCCAACATTTCTTGGAGATCTGTAGCACATTCACCATAAAGGGAGTGACCCAAGAGGATATACGTCTTCGCCTTTTCCCTTTCTCTTGCTCTAGGTCCTTCTGTTGGTTTCGGCGTACAATACAACATCGATCGATTGGCTCTGTCATCGACACGATGGCGAGTGCCTCGATGCCGCCGTGGGAAGGGAGAGAGCAGAAGGGAGGATATATTTTTCAAGAAAAAAATAAATAGGATGGGTTAAATAAAAAAATACATACCACATTAGCACGCCACATCACCAATAAATGCTGACATGGTTGGCATAGACGACCTGCGGTGCAAAACACAATAAGTTTAGGAACCCAAAATACATTTTTAAAGTTCATGAACTTACATGACACATGCTTCCAAGTTCAGAAGCCGCTGGGCATTTAACACTTTATGAAATTCTTATATGTTCTTGTGAAAATGGCTTCTAGCTTCTATAGGAAAATATTCAACCTTAATAAAATATAAAAGTTCCATTTACTTATTTACAATTTACTATATACTCATAAATATCAATATCATTTCTGTTATTTAAAACAAATGTTGTACTAGCCATTGGTAGTGTCCCATGACGGGAAGACATATGAAGTCAACAAAAATAGGCCTGTGGTTCAGTGGTTGGACTGTCCACTGGGACGCTACTCACCAGGGTTAACCCTGGTGATCGCATATTTTTTCTGGATTTTTTTTTCAGAATTTTCAGGGTACACGCACTTATGCGCGTTCGGTGGTACTGCGCGTTTCCCGTGCATTGGAGGCGACGTCTCCCAATCTCTTATTTGCGTGTGTTCAGACACACATGCGTATGGAGTGTGTGGGTTGTATGCGTCCAAAGTTGTGCCCGATAGACAAAATAAAAAAATTAAAAAGGAGAGATAAAAATAAAGAAACAAAAACAGAAATTTCGAAAGAAATTGTGAAAAACAACCGGCCCAGAAGAAGGCCGATGCGGGTGTGCGTTTTTCCCCTTCCCGCCGTAGATGCATAACGTGCATTCTCCTTAAGCCTTTTACCTATGTGCCATTATAAAAGATGGTCACGGCCTACGTGCCACTAAAAAGTTCGAACGCATCTATGTGTCGTGACACTTTACTTTTTTTGCCTCCCAAGCCATTTCGTCCATTTTCTTCATCTAACGGTGTCAATCTGCGTTGAAAAAAGTCTCAAATACCCACATGTTGCTTCTTCACTGTGCCCTTCTTCGTTTCCTCTGCCGATCATCATCGTCCCGTCCTCCACCGTGTGCCGAGGCCAGGGAGCCCCACGTGCGCCAGGGCGGGGGGCGGAGCCGGCCTCGTGGACGTCAAGGTCGGGCGGAGCCTAGCCGCTCGTTGCCTCGTGCCTCCATCGCCGGCGCGCCCACCGACGGCACCCAGCGATTCCACCGCCACCGCGACCGACGCGCGCGATGGTCGCACGGCTGCATGCGCCCCTGCGCGGGCCGCGTCGCCGCACTGCCGGCCGTGAGCTCCCTGCCCACCTAAACTCGCCGGACCCAGCCTAGGCCTGCGCGTGCCAAGGCCGCCTCAAGCCGAGGACGCGCCGCCCCGACCCTGCGCGCCTCGCCCTGACCCTGCGTGCCTCCCGGGGCACGAACAACCCAAAGACGTAGACGATGGCGCCGGGGGAGGCCAGCAGCGCGGTCGGAACCCGTGCGGCGCGCTAGGCGCGGCATGAGCGGGCGGAGATGGCGCAGACGACGAGGGCGAGGAACGTGCAGAGTGGGAGGAAGGCCGCCCAGGCGCAGCGAGGAGGAGGAGCTGGCAAGGCACGGGCGCGACGTGGTCACCGGCAAGCGCGCCAGTGGAGGCTTGGCGGGCGGCGCGTGACCTAGCTGCTTGGGGGAGCTCGGCCCCTGGTCGCCGGAGCCGCGTTGCGCTAGCTGCGTCCTGCGAGCGAGGCCTCGACCGCGTGCCGTCTTCTTAGGGCCCGGCTGCACATCGGGGCCGGGCTCGGGGCAGGCGGCAGACGCTTGTCGAGCGAACGCCGGCGCATCGGGGCCGCGGCCGCGCGCATCGTGGATGTGAGTGGGAGAGGGGAGCCGGGCTCGCCGGAGTCGAGAGGGGCTCGCTAGAGTTGGGAGCGGGCTCGCCGGAGTCGGGATAGAGGTCGCCGGGGTCAGGAGGCCGGCGCATCGCGGAGAGGGCCGCGCGGTTGGAAGAAGATGTCGATGGGAAAAATATAGAGAGCAGTTTACGCCTTGACAGAAGGGCATTTTGAATGTTTTTACTGACTGAGCCCACGTGTTAGGGCTGGCAAACGATAAAAATTAAACGGAAGGTGAACGGAATGACTTGAGAGTAAAAAAGAAGAAGAAGTAAAGTCTCGTACGACATAGATGCGTTCAAATTTTCTAGAGGCACGTAGGCCGCGCATTATAATGCCGCACAGTTAAAGGCTCGTTCTCCTTCCGTCCGCTGCATCCCTAATTCCCTACTCGTGTGTTCTGTCTGCCTCTCTCGCCCCCTCTCGCTCTCCGACAACTGGTGGCCGCCCCTGCCGCCCTAAGCTAGGTGCTGAGGCTTTAGTTGGCCTCTTCGCCGGCGACGAGCACCCACCAGGTACTCCCACCCCTTCTCTTCCCCTCCCTTCAAGCTGAGCACCGAAGCCCTAACATAAAGCTATTTAGCTATTCGACAAGCCCCCTAACTTCGAAGTTTTTGCAAAAATTATTGGGTGTACACCCATGTCCCTTTACTGGATCCGCTCCTGCTGAATCGTGAGGGACCTGCATTTGAAGTTAACATCGCTGGCGGATTCTGTGTTAGTTAAATTACGGGAGCTGTAAGATGTTACCCTGATGCATAGGTTGTGGGTACTCATATCATGGTTGCTGTTTATGCATTTCATGGTTAAATGCAAGTTGTGTGATAATGATTTGTGTATGTGTATGTCAATATTGTGGCATAAATGCTGTTAAAATTTTGCAAAATTTGTCAAAATTTGCACAGATTTAAAACATATGCAGCTACTTGTGTTAAATTTTGTTGTCAAAATCCTTGACAATCTGAAACAATAATGTCTAAACCTTTGAATCCAAAACAGGGGTCAAAGTAAAATCACAAAGAACCAACAAAAGCGAGGGCAAATCCGCAATGGCAAAATTGTTATTTCACCTCAGAATTAACACCGCTACAATGACTTAACAGAATAGGGGCAAAGTCTTGCTTCGATTTGAAATAACAGGGGCAAAAACACAAAGTTCAAAAAATAGGGGCAAAATCACCACAAGCCCTGAAACTGGGGGTATGAATGCCAAAGCCCCAAAAATTTAGGTGCATTGTTCCTCCCATTGTTGTGCCGCTGATATAAATGTTTAGAGCTAGTTACTGGATGGCGTCAATTGAATACAACATCTCTGAGAGAGGGAGGCAGGTGACCCAAACTTGTTGTGACTAGTAGATAAACTATTTCGCTTGTTTTTTTTTTGTTCTGTTTGGCAAGACATGTTTTATTCATCATCACTGAGATGATTTACCTCCCCCTTCTGGATTAGTTTAGTATCAATGCAATGTCCAGTTCTAAAGGGGGCTGTGTGTGTGTGCGTGTTTTTTTTTTTTGGGTATTTTCCTGTATCCATTGATTTGGTAATGTAATAATCTTGTCTTTATATAAATTTGATGGTTTCTAAATTTGATGGTTTCTAACGTATTTCCCCTTTTTCCTTGAATGCGGTCTGAGTTTGTTGACAGTATGGACGAATCACGAAAAAGAGCTGTCTCTACTGCAAATGCTAAAAATATAAGTTCATCCCTTGGTATGTCCTCTTGTGAGCTGTCAGTACTCGTCCACTAGATCATTTCAGGCCCTTATTCCTTATTTATATGCTCTGCATGGACTAAAATTCACTATACTGCTAAAACCGAGACCTCTCATTGGAAACTACCAAGGGTCATGTTCATCATACTTGACTCTTACTAGCACTACCTTCGGAAAGTAATGTATGATACTTGAACAGTATCCACAATTTTTTTTTGCTGTGAGTTGATGGCAGTTTCTTTCTAATTTGACCTGACATATGCTTGTTATATGTTGGCAGATGAAGACTTTGGGAATGATTTTCTTTCATCTTGGAAGTTACCAAAATCAGGAAAAGACACAATTGACTTCACAGTTCCAAAGAGTAGCAAGAAATTCAGCTTTGACAATCTGTGAGTTAATCTTTTGAAAGGCTTGAATCCATCAACTTTTGATGCGATCAACTGCTCATTGTTCATGATGGTTCTAACAAATCATTTCTTTAACCAGAGATGATTTTGGGCTTGATGGAGCCTTTGACAAATTACCATCCTTTCAAATGGGCATGTCTGATCTGGATTTTTCAAGCCCTCAGAAGAAAAAAGTGAAGCACAGCAGTTCAAATGCAGATCTTTCTGAAGAGAAAAAGGAAACTGACAAGGACAATTTCTCCTTTTCCTTTGATTTCAACGAGTAAGTTAAATCACTGATGCTAGAAAACTGATAATCGTATGATATATTGATACGAAACTTCATGCTATTAGTTTTTCTGTTTCTGGTTTTTGTTTGCTTACAGGCTGGGAAAGTGTAGTCTTGATGGAAAGCTAGGAATTGAAGAAAAGAGTACGAGTAGATTTACTGGCAAATCTGACCCTGTCTCCTCAGAGGTTAAGAAGGATACACAAAGATGTCTTTCAGCCAAGGGCAATGCTATTCTTGAAGAGAATAATAGTACGGACAAAGCACATACACTTGATACTTGCACTTTGAGACCTTCTCATCTAACCAATCATGAGAGTGTGAAGAATGTCAGTCAACCGACTTCAAATATCAATGCTGCTGATTCATCTGACAAGATGCAAGAACATACCAGTGTTAATCCTGCTACAATGGAACAAACTAAAGTAGATTCAGTGCTCAATGACAATCCTGGAGAGCAACCTATAGAGATATACCCAATGAAGGCAGCTGTTAACATACCTTCTCAGGATTTCTCCTGCAGTGCCATATCTAGTGAAGATCCAACACAAGGGCTAGCAGATCCTGTGAACAGTAACGATGCGCCTATAGTGAACTCTGGTAAAGTTCATGTATCAAGGGAGAGTAATGACGATGAGCAGTCAAATGGTTTACGATCCAGGGACACCAGCATTATTAATCCCAATGTCTCAAGAAGACCGGTGGGCCAGTTTAATTCCCGGAATGAGGTTCTGGAGGAAAGTGTTTCGCTTAATGAAGGAAGTCAAGACAACCAAAGTTTTATTGGCGCTCCTAAGAAGTTTTTAAAGAAGACATCACATGGGACAAAGAATACTGAGGAAGAGATTTCAGGTCCCAAGAGTCTCTCTTGTTCAATGCAGAGGTCTGTTTTTGTCAAATGTGCCTTCATTGACAATATAAAACACTTTTAGATCTCCACTGTGATTTATCATAATCAAATACTAACATAGAATGCATAGCCTGCTATTCTACTTCTGGTGCGCCATGCTTCTGTTCATAATGCATTCTAATGTAGTGGCAGCAAATCTATATGGAGAAGCGTGACACAATGGATCTATTTAAATGTTTGTTACTTTCCTGAAATAATTTCTCACAATTACATGCAGGGAAATCAGAAGTGTTGAACCTGCACTGACGAAGGAGAGAGGAAGCTTCTCTCTTTTATCCAAGTCTGTACATATGAAAGCAACTAGGGTCGAACTAGCTTCAGAAACAGCCTTAAATCAATTGTCCAGTGCAAGTAAAGTGATAAAAAAGATGACTACACATCCTACAGACTTGGAGAGGTGGTAGACAGATGGACAGATTAGCATATACTCATGAATATTAATAGTGTATTGAATAATGAATGTGGTTTTAAATACGCAGGGAACACATGCAAGCTAATGCAATACCTGACAAATCTAAAACTGCTTTATCAAAAACATACAGCAAGCCAGCATCAAATGGTCTGTTGGCCACCTCCATGAATGTCAAAGGTGACAGGAATGCCAAATTAGGGTAAAAAATTATCATCCTTCATCTTGCGCATTATGAATGCATATTTAAAATTTGTTCTGCAGGTTCTTTTTGGGCATGCTGCATGCACATCACTTCTCAAGTTCTCTTTGGTGTTCTGTACATGTCAATTTATCATGGATGACACAGTTTCACTATTTTCAGCATCTTTGATATATCTGCTACTAGACCTGATATTAACCTGAATGAAGCTCGTACAATAAATTGGCTGCGTTTGGTGTGTCTGCTGCAGCTGCATCCAGCACTCGCAACAGTGCCGCACAGGTGCATTGCTGCTGCAGCAGCAGCCATAAAAATCTGCAGCAAACAGGCCCAATTTCTATGTTATCTGCCTTGTTCTTTAGAACTAGTTTTCATTATAACCATTGCAGTTCTGACCTGTCCTTGCTATCATCGATGGCATAATTCGATATTTTCAGTTCAGTATCTGAACCCCTGTGGTAGAACTAATTGCCTAATGTTGAACTGAATGAAGATTGCTGTAAGGTTTCAATACTATTGTTCTTGGTCTTTCTAATTAATTTATATTGCAATGTATGAGGACCTTCCCCAGACCCCGCACAGAGCGGGAGCCCTCTGCACTGGGTACGCCCAATGGATGAGGACCTTCACAATTCACTGGAAATACGATAGTTTTTGCATTCATGGAAAGTGTAAATCTGTGACAGTTTTTAAACTATTTAGTACATTTATGCATAAAAGGATTTGCAGATGTGGGATTGATTCATCAAGTAGAATGGATCACATCGACTTAATTGTTTTGCAGTTTCCATAATCGTCCTTTGTTGCAGTATTTTATTAACCTTTCATGTGATAGGCTATTTTGGCCAAAGAGTATCCTTATTTTATATCTGTTGCTAATTCTCAATACTGAAAATGTATCAGTTTATGGAGGTAAAATACTGAAATTAATATGTTCATTGCTATAGCTAGAGTCTAACACTTGATCATTATATATATGGAAAATTACTCCATGTGCAACAACTATAGCGCTGATTATTTCATAATAATGTAAAGTCATGATTCTTGAAATTTGATGGACTCCTTTTACTATTCTCCCTGATGAAAGGACATCATTTGACTGTTTTCAGACAATTTGTGTTTTAAGTGTTGTGAGTTGTAGCTGATTATAACGTATTCTTGAATACTTCTTGTCAGATTGGATTTGATGCTAATTTATATATGTATGTACCTTTTTTTTCAGCCTTGAGCCTCCTATCTCGGGGAACTCGTCTCTACTGAATGCTCGAAGGAGCACAGCAAATAGCGCTGGACATAAAGTTGTTGCAAATCATGTGCTTCTGAAAAGTAGCAATGCTTCTGATTCATTGCAAGGTGTTCCTTCCAAAGATAATAAAATATCAACAATTTCTCAACTGACAGGAGCAAGGTATAATATTCTCCAGATATTCTTTTCCTTCTAAACTTACATAGTGGCAGCTAACATAATCTATCTGAATTTAGAATTACAAAATTAGGAATCAGAAGTCCGAAGTCTGACATGGTTCCAGAGAAGGAATCAGTACAAGTGAGTGGGACAAAGGGTTCCCCTGTAACAACATCGAGAATCCTTGACTCCATTCCTGAAGGAAAACCTGCACTGCCTAGCCCATCCATAATGCAGAAAGTTCCTGAGGTATGTTCTCTTCCTGTCAAGTATTATATTTCCTAAGAAAGTGATTTGCATTTCTACTCTAAAACATGTTTCCTACTTGGACTATCCACATTGTCTTAAGCCGAGGTTTGTTCTTCGTTTTTATCGAGAAGCTACTTTGTAAACAGAAACAAAAGGACCTCGCTGAGTTAACTACTTGCAGAAATACACCTAATTGCGTCCTGGGCAGCTGGCGTTCGGGGCCTTTCGCAATCTTAATTGTAATGCCTTGGCCCTTGGGGACGTCTCTCCCTATGGGCCAAGTTTCTACAGTAGTCTTTTTTTACTATTTGGTCGAACAATATTATATTGTTCTTGATGATTTCATATTAAAGTTTACAAGAGGTTATTCACTATATGTCATAATCTTAAAAAAAAACTCCATGGAACTACGAAAGTTCCTAGAATGACATGATAAGGATCAGATTCATTTAATTGTTGATAGGACTTGATGCCCTATCGGTGTTGCTGCGTAGGTTATAGGGGTGGAAGAGGGGAGGACGAGGTCTGTACTCTCGACGTCGGTGAGGAGCCGTGGCGGTGAGAGCGGCGGCTGCTGCTGCCGCCCTAGAGTTCACGTAGCACTACAGTACGCGGGTACTGTTCACACGGGGGAGAGAGGGCAGGGACGGCTGGCTCCAAGGGAAGCCAGCAACTTAATTGTTGCTTTCTTACTTGACTATAACTGATACAGGGTTCTCTTTTATAGAGATGACTGACTTGACCCCTAAGAAAATATCCTAACCGAATCAATCTAACATATCTCTTTCCTAACAAACCAAATCAATCTAATCTAATCTAATCTAATCTGTTCACGTTCTACAGTACCGTATGGGCCCCTGGGCCGGCTCCACTTGCCATAACACTACTCCGCCCCTCCAAGACAGCTCGTCCTCGAGCTGTGGCGATTGCTGGAGCAGAAGACCTTGCAGTCCAGAGAAGATCACCATGGCAGCCCTGCTCAAGGAGTCCTATGTTGCAGTTGTAATCGAGGCAGAAGACATACGGCTCCACAAAATCAACTCCGTCCCGTGGAATCTGCTTCTGCAATGGTGCACAATCCATACCTTCCTCAAGGTGCAAAACCTGGCTGCTCCATCTGATCTGCCCGGAATCTAATCCGCCTGACTCGAGTCCATGGAGCGCCTGCACGTGGAGTCAATGGCGCCCTCCACGAGCAGCCATCCCTGCTATGGGTGCAGCAGAGCAGAGCTGCGCTGGTGGCGTACTCCAAGCAGCCGATGGAGCTTTGAAGGCCTGCTGCTGAGACGGCAGGGAATCTGCGCATGCAAACAGCCACGGCCCTGCTCGAGGGATCGGTGCTGTGGCTCGTAGAGGCAGCGACAAAGGCACCATGTCCGCCAATGTTGGTGCAAGGTTGATCGCCTGCATGGGTGACGCTGGTGAAGAGACTGCCAAAGTCGTGATAGCCGGGGTCTTCACTGGTGGTGCCACAATTGTCGGCATAGGGGACATCAGGGCCGGAGATGGTAACGACATCCTGGCCCTGGCCCTCCGGTGTGACGGCATGTAGCGTTGTGCGGCGGCCGAGGGCGCCGCGCCCGTGCTGTCCAGCGAGGGCGACATGGCGGAGAGCGTCGGCATCAGGCTGCCGTCGTGGAATAGGGGTCCGTCCACCCCGCCGTAGAGGACGCCCGGAGCCGGGGCGCCGCCAGGCGCGATGACAGCCCCGGTGGTCGGGAGCGGCGGTAGGTGCGGCTGGATACTGGGCGCCGTGTAGATGAGTTTCGACGAACCGGCGATCCAAGCCGAAAGCGGCGACGGCGATGGCGGGAACTTGATCTGCTGGATGGGAACGCCCTGGGACGGTGGCGGCGCGGCTGGGAACGAGGTCGTCGCAGTCTCGTCGTAGGGCATCCCATACTGGTACGAGATGACCGGCGCCGTGGTCGTGGCCGAGGGCGGCGACGGCGGGGGTAGCTGCTGTTGGTGTGGCAGTGGAGGAGGTGGCAGCTGGGGCTGCGGCTGGGGCGCATAGGGCGGCCCTGATGCCCGCCACGGCCTGCCGTAATTCCAGGATTGCGGCCGTCATCTGCTCCGGGGTGAGGACGAGGGCGAACGGCACCGGGGCAGAGGGCGCAATCGCCCCTGCGGACGCCAGCGCGCCCAATGCCGGCGCGCCTGCTGTGTGGGGCAACAGCGCCGACGAAGACGCCGGTGGCGGCGGGTGGGTGTGCGGCGGCGGCGGGTGGGAAGAACTCGGTAGAGGGCTGGACATGATCGAACCAGAGGTCTCTGATACCAGATTGATAGGACTTGATGCCCTACCGGCGTTGCTGCGTAGGTTATAAGGGTGGAAGAGGGGAGGACGAGGTCTGTACTCTCGACGTCGGCGAGGGACCATGGCGGTGAGAGCGGCGGCGGCTGCTGCTGCTACCCTAGAGTTCACGTAGCGCTACAGTACGCGGGTACTGTTCACGCTAGGGAGAGAGGGCAGGGACGGCTGGCTCCCAAGGGAAGCCAGCAACTTAATTGTTGCTTTCTTGCTTGACTATAACTGATACAAGGTTCTCTTTTATAGAGATGACTGACTTGACCCCTAAGGAAATATCCTAACCGAATCAATCTAACATATCTCTTTCCTAACAAACCAAATCAATCTAATCTAATCTGTTCACGCGCTACAGTACCGCATGGGCCCCTGGGCCGGCTCCACTTGCCATAACAATTGTAAACCTTATATTCTAGCTTGTTCTTTTTTCTATTTTGAGACCCTGTGTATTACTGAAGAAACGTACCATGTGATATGAAAAAATTGTATAAGGACTTATGTTCTCAAATATCATATTTCTAGTTTATCCTGTAAATACATTTTATGGAGTTTCAATAAAAACCTACTTGGTGCATTTAGTATTCTAGATACTAGTTATCTCTTATGTGGCAATAGGCAGAAAATTTAATCACCATATTTGAACTTGTCAGTATTGTCTCGTGTGCCTTTTTTCAGATATATATAAAAGAAAAAAATGTATGTGTTAGTTCATTAGTAATTTTGTTCATGCTGTTGACTTGCAGATCCAAAAGCTCCTAAAGTGCTCAAACACATCATGAGATCTCCAGCTGTAAGGTTGTTGGTTAGATCGTATTTGATCAACATAACATCTTTGATGGCTACATAAAATCTCTCTTTTGGAAGTACTCCATTCCAAATTATAAGACGTTTCTGTTTTTCTAGATACATTGCTTTTACTATGTATCTAGAGTCTAGACAGAGGATATATCTAAGTGCATAGTAAATTATGTATCTAGAAAACTCAAAACGTCTTATAACTTGGGATTGAGGGAGTAACAACTTTGCAAATTTAAATGCAGAAAATCACCTCAAACTGTTCCAGAGTTGGGAAATGAAATGGTAAGTGTGATGAAAATTTCTGAAGATCTGTAAGTATATGTATTGTATAGTTTCATCCAATTTCAAACGTACTCCTTCTGTCCCCGATTAACTGTCGCTGTTGGTTTCCGTGCCGAAAGTTTGACTCGATTTGTAGAAAATACATGCAACATTTGTATCCCCTAATAAATTTATTAAAAAACTAGATTCAAATATATATCTAATGATATTAATTATGTACCATAAATATTAATATTTTTTTATATATATGTAGTCAAAGTTGTTTCTCGAGAAGCGAAAACGACAGATGTTTAGGGATGGAGGGAGTAGGTCATTGTGGTTGTGGTACATAGTCAAAATATCTGAAACAATGATCACTAACATGAATGGAATGTTGAATGAAAAAAATGTCGATTTGTCAAGAAATACTTCCATAAGGTCATATATTTTGTTTTGTTTAAAGATATATTACCACAGAAACCTTTTGTCAATCCTCACTTCTAGTTGTGTGCGGTGTTGTGTCTATGACTCTTTTTTTCTTCTTAATGGAATCAGCTCTTCAACCCATTTGAGGAAAAAAAAATTCACTTCCAGTTTGTGAAATAGGAAAAAGTTGACTCGCATCTGGAACTGGATTCAGTATTATGTTAATTAATATGTCCTTATTGATTTCACTTGTTAGATTCTGGGAAGTGGAACTCCAAAAGCTCATGTGGATAATACAATCTCTTCACGTATGCCACCTGGGATGGAAGCCATTTCAGATCTAGAGCTGCCTGTGTTGTTAGAAAATGATGGAAACATAGAAAGAGCTGAGGCTTGTAGAAAGGAGCTTGAGGATGTGAGTAAATCAGTCCAGTGCTTTACCATAAAAGAACTGTCCAATGCTTTGTTACTATAACTAGAGTGCCAATTGCTTTTCCGTGTGAAGCTACCTGTAGAGGTTTTCTTAATGCTTTATAGCCTATAAATTTACACAAAAGAAAGTTTTTTCAACTATGCCATCTAAAAGAAAACCCTCCAATGTGATGATGTATTGCATCTTAGCATGATTCTCTGAGTTCTACCAGAGGCTTATCCACCTTTTTAATTGACATAGCCAGAGAACTTGATATTTTGAAAATTTCTGCAGTTCCTATTTCATTAAAAAGAATTATTCTTTTGTTCTAATATCGTCGCCTTCTTTTAACTTTTTTTTTTGCTTTACCATGATGGTGTAGTCCTGAGTTAGTATACAGATGGATCTAGCTTAACAATTCGTTTCACCTACTATTTTCTGACTGCAGATATGCATTCTATTGAAAAGGAAACATGCAGAAGCTAAAGAGCTAGCAGTTCGGGCTATCGTTAACAACAATACAATGCTGATGTTAAACCACCCAATGATTGAGGAGAAAATATCCTAATTGATTTTTCTCAACTTCGTTTTTTACAATTAAATGGAATAATGGATATTAAACTTGTTATCCCTTCACCACATGAACATTTGCTCTATTCAGAAATTTGCAAACAACCTGAGATCCAAGTACTTATTTGAGGAAGTTGGCACCATTAACGCTGTAAGTTAAGCACCCAATTTCGATTTATGTTATCGGCTTAAGATATAGTTCTTTATAAGTTAAGATGGAGAAAGTTGTAATTCCTGTAGTGGTACTTACTATTTATCATTTTTTATGGCCCAAGTTACTTCTCATTCGTGATCTTATCCACATAGTCAGCCAATTTGAGAGTAAATAATTCTGTTGTGGTGCCTTTTCAAGTGTGTGTAGAGCCTCAAGAATCGCATTGGTACCCGCATTTTGAGCTATTTTGCCAACTTGGATCCCCCTCTTTTTTATATATATAGGGATGTGTCATGTACTACTCTGGCCAATTCTTGAAACTGACCACCTTTACTTTTACTGTTTCAAGAATTACTACTATATGGCTGGTAACACCTCTGAAATTTGTTTGATGTTAGTCTTTCTTGTTTTACTGTTCGAGGTTCATAACGTGCATTTCGTATCCCACAGTAGGAAATAGTGCAGGAATAAGATGCAAACATGTGCGGCTATAAAATGGTAAACAGTTTTAAAACATTTCATTTGATACCAAAAAACATTCACCTAGCTTGTAGCATTTTTTTCTTTCTTGAGCGGGAGCTCTCTGCACTGGGTACGCCCTTTTTTTTTAAGTAACTGAAAAGCATCAGCAAAACATTTTGGTGCAGGAAAAAAATTATTTGATGAAATGTGGGTTCCAAATCAAATTGTGGTACACAATGATGGTTATTTACACAAGCTGCAAAACATTTTGATGTATGCCTTGCATGCGTCCTGTCAGTTTAATTTGTCTTCTAGTTTAGGCTGGAAATACTGATTGACTGGACAACTCTGTTATTTTCATTACCTGTATTTATGAACTTCTTGTCAGTCTATTATCAATATTGCCTTTGCTGGAACCTCTTATCTGCCACTTCTACTGCTACTAGTAAGTTATCATCATTGCTGATTATTAGTGGCTTGCATTCGTAATGGAAACCCAGAAGTTATTTGTTTGTGTATACATACAACACTGGCAGTTGCTGTGTTACAGTGAGTCTAGGTTTCAATTAATTTGAGGCATGCACTACAGTTTTGAGGCTTGCATTCGTAATGGAAACCCAGAAGTCATTCATTTAAAGCATTTTTATATTCGACCAATGAATTCGATTGCTGTGTTACAGTTTTCTTCAGCCTGATCAGTCATTAGTTTGTCTTGGTAACTTGGTGCTTCTGTGTTTGGCAGCACTGACGCGGGACAAATGCAAGGAGAAAATGACTTGTCCAGCAGAGCGTGGGTAATGTAAATGCAACAAAAGAGCTCAGGATCCAGCGTAAATGCAATCTTGAAGTATCTTGAATAACTACCTTGTGCATTTTGGTACACGGTTGCCTTCTGTGGATGCGTCCCTTCACATAGCGTAGCAACTGTTGAGTGCCTACATCTTATTACCTAATAATTCTGGATTTCTGGTAGTGAGATATGACCTTGTGGACTCAATGACTAGAATAGCACTGCTGCACTAGGCAATACCTGGTTTCATCTATGCCAATTGCAGTTGGTGACAAAACGTTCACATTGGATTGATGCTAGGGAGAAGTTGCAAGAGCAGAACCGTGGTTGATGACTAGGCTGCCCTTTCCACCCTAAGCCTGACGTATATATACAGTCAAAAGCTATAGTAATTTTTGTTGCTTATTACTAGCTTACAGCTTTTGGTACGTTAGTGTTAAAAGCTGGTAAATTTCGTTACTATGTTGGTTATCTAGTTGCAGCACACTTCAGTAGCACTGACAGATTCAGATGGCTAATAACCAAAGGCAACATGCATGCTAGATCGATGTTAGTGAAGCTGTAGCTTTGAGCAGCGGGACCTCATACCGTCCCATGGTGATTGGTGAACAGGTCCTCCCTCCATGAAGTAATTCATGTCGTTCGCTAGGTTGATTTTTTTTTCCTTAAAATTCCTTCAGATCCAATTAGTGCATGTGCTATGCACACATTCATGAACTTTGTTTGCTTTATTTCAATTTTTGATATAGCGAAAAAGCGACTGTGCTTTACATCCTTATGATCTGGTCACTCAGCTAACGATAGGACCGGTAGTGGATGAAGTGGTGCTGCGGAGTAATCTAATAAGTGAAACTGTTTCTGATTACGCAGGAAATGGACTTATCTCTATTTACAGCTGGACATCTGACATACACTACTTTTAATATATATAATAAACAGGATAAGACCAATGTAATAGTCAGTGAAAGCTATCCCATAACCTTGCACTAATGTAAATGCGGGTTTAACACTAGTGAGTGGAAAGCCATTGCGAGATGCAATGCTGTATGACCTCTCGTTGCCCAGGTCGTCCCCATAGGTCTCATCCTCAGGTTTGAACCATCCTTATTTGGTTTGCCATCAGTAATGGCGTGGGGCATATTGCTGTAATTGTGCTGGTCTGTGTTGTGGAATCTTGCAAGTGACTTAATATGATTTTGTACTTGAGTTTCACAAACAAACAAAAAAAAACGCTTTCCTTGCAAACTAGCACAGCTGTTAGATTCTGTGTTATGGAACCTGTCTAATTGGTATGTGCTCGTATGTTTTTTTAGACTTATTAAGGTTTAACCGTGTTATTCTTTCAGTGATAGGTGATGTGTCAATTTTAGGGCTGGATATCGAGCCAGCTCGGCTTGTTATGGCTCGTTATATAAACGAGCCAAAAGACTAGCTCGGTTCGGCTCGTTAGCGAGCTTGAGCTAGCTCGTTTGACTCGCGAGCCAAAGCACAAAAACATAGTACATAGAGGTTATAACAACAAGTTAGCAACAAACACATCACATGCATATTTAAAATAAAATAAACAAAATACATATGAATTTTAGACTCGTCTCGCGTGAATATGATGCCGTGTGGTAGGCCGGTGGGGTGACTGGGTGGGGCCATGGGGTCCATTGGTCTAGGCTTTTAGTGTTTAATCGTGTTGGGTCACAGACAGAGGGATATATGGACTGCTTAAAGTTGTATTGGGCTAGACCGAGAGATATATGGGCTAATTGTAGTTGTTCATGTGAATTATCTTGGTTCGTTTTGGCTTGCGAGCGGCTCATGAGCTGGCTCGAGCTGGCTTGTTAATTAAAAATTCAAACGAGCCGAGCTCGAGCCGAGCCACTAACGAGCGAGTCGAGCGAGCTAGCGAGTTACGAGTTTTTCGTCCAGACCTAGTCAATTGACAGCAAGGCACATGTGGTGACTTTAATAATCTCGAGATTGTGGACTAAGTCTTTTAGATGTTTTCACAGGAGTAAGGTGTGAGTGCTTGTGTTCATAGGAGTGTATGTGTGTATGTACATGAGAGTTTGTGTTTGTAAAAAATTAGAGACGCTTTCCTAACAATTCCAATTGATGCCCAAGAGTATTTTCACCTGTTCCCTTTCTTCAAGCCCCTTTATCTTGTTATAGATGAATCCCATTTTTTCATCACCACCAACCCTAACATGTGGATCCCGCATTTTAGTGGGCTATATTTTTCTTCACGGTCTCTTCTCCCATCCAATTCCTCTCTTGTCTTCATAGATGGCCAATGGGCCGGGCCGGCATGGCACGTCGTGCCTCACAGGGCCACGGGCCTGGACATCGGCCCAGGCACGGCCCTATGGGCCGATTTCCATGCCGGCCCGGCCCGAGAAGCACGACCATTTTCACAGGCCGTGCCAGCCCGAGGCCCACTGAGCGGCCGCGTGGGGAGGCGAGGATGAGGTGGCCGTCGGGGCTGGGAGCGACGGAGCTCTGGATCTCGGGGGCAGGAGCTGCGTAGGCGGCGCCCTCCCTCAAGCGATGGAGAGGAGGAGATGAAGAGGGGGTGAGCGAGATGGAGAGGAGAGAACAAGGAAGGGAGGGAGTCGCTGGATCTGCCCGCGCGCGCTCCTAGCCGCGCGCCGCCGAGGGAGAGTGAGTGAGGGAGGGAGGTAGGGACGGGGAGGAGGCGTCACGCCAGCGTCGAGGCAAGGGTGGGGAGCCGAATCCGCGGTGGAGAAGACCCAGCGTGGCTAGATCCACGGCGGAGATCCAGCGCCGCCGCGGAGGCGAGGGATCGTGAGGAGGACAACGGGCGTCACAAATCTGGTGGAAGCGGGATCAAGGAAGGAGGCAGCGTGAGGCTGGAGATGGCAGTGGCCGTCGCCCGCCGGCGAGCTTGTCTTGGCACCGGATCTGCGTCGGGGCGGAGCTCGGGGCCGGCGCGCTCGCTCCCGCAGTGGTGTCGCTCGAGGAGAGGGAGGGGCAGCGGGCGTCCGCGTCCGCGCTGGGCCGTCGGCGTTGCGAGGAGAGGAGAGGTGGCGCGAGGGAAGGGGAGGGGGCGTCCGCGGCGCCGGCGCTAGGGTTCGGGGTGAGGCATGAGGGACAGCCGCCGCGGGCGTAACCACTTATATATGAGGGGGGGGGAGGGGCCGGGGACGGCGGGGAGTGCGTGGGCCGCGCTGGGCCATGGGGAGGGGAGGAGGGGGAGGGGGGAGGCCAGGCCGCCAGGTAGGGCCGTGCAGGCAGCGGCCGCCCGTGCACTGGGGTAAGGCCTGCAAGGCCTGCTCCTCCTCGGTAGTGTGCTAGCCTGGCCCGCTCATCGCAGGGCCGGGCCGGGCTTGGGTCAGGCCAAAAAAAGGGCCTTGGGCCAGGCCGACGGGCTCGGGTTGCATGGCCATATATACTCGTCTTGAATCGGCCAAGCTTGCCTGGCCCTCTTCTCACATCATCGTGTTGCTTGTCAGACAACGGTGCGGGCTCGCTTACCTATTTTCAAAGAGGAATATTCAATGTAATGTAGGCTACCTTTGTCCCGAGAAAATGAAGGGACCATAAGGGATGGCTTTGGTTCCCATCACATGGCCGTTCATCTCCGTGATGTGCAGATGCGGCGGTGCTGGGTTGGTGGGCGATGTGCAGGTGCGGGTGGTGCCGGGTGAGTGATGCATAGGGCGCGGCTGCGAGCAGCACTGGTGTGGTGGTTGCGGGGATTGGGAGCGTGGGCGAGGGAGTTTGTTGCGGACGGCTGTGGCGTGGCGAGGTCGTGGGATGGCGGTGGTGAGGCCGCACAGGTGTGGAGGATACCATGGGTGGTGTTTGGTGGCGATGCTACGCGGATCGGGTGTGTGGGGACACAAACGTGTGGAGCGGCGGTTTCCGTTCAAAATAGGGGAAGAAGGTGGAGAACATGACATGTCCCCGTTCGCTGGTCTGAAACTTGGCTGAAACTGGCTGAAAAATACTGTTCCGACTGAATTGTTGTGAGAGAAAAACATTGTTCCGGCTGAAAAAAGAAGCCGAACAAGCCATTTTTAAGACAAGCGAACGGGGCCATATGGGACTTTCGAAAACAGATGTGGCTGACGGTGTTAAAATGTAGTCACCCCTATTCTTTTTCATCTCTCTAACAGAAAAAAAAACTATGATGAACACGTTTCTTCAACCAAACATGATGATGGGACGATCCTACTTCAAAAAACAGGAACGAAACCATCCCACATATCATTTTTGAACCAAACACAGGCTAAGTGGCCATAGGACGTTAAGCTAACGCCTACGACCTACCCAGCTCCGTATGCTCTAGGCATCATGGAAGTCGTTGGAAAAAGTTGTAGGCAAGTTATAAATATAGGGTATGTTCTGTAATTTTCCTTGTGTTTCCTTGGGTAAAATAGGTAGAAATTTACATTGTAACCCCTAAAAAAGAAAAGAAAAGAAAAGAAAACTTCATCCCCAGGACAGACTTCATTCGTCCCCTTCCATTTCATCTCTCATTAGATTGGTTGCTTCATTTCGTTATGGCTGCCGAGTCCTATCCTACCTATCTCGTCCAACGTTTGCGCGCTCTCCTTTTCTTTCATCGTCGGTCAGGATCAAAACCGAATGTTTTTTAGATGAATTAATCAATCAAAAAGGATTCTGACAAAATTCACCTGGTTGCTCCGCCAGTTGCCTAGCGGCAGCTAGTGCCATTCGATCGCATGGTACGCACAAGAAGCCATTGCCCGTTGCCCTTTTTTTTACTTCCATTACCTGTTGCCCTGTGTTTCCCCTGAGCCTGAGCGCAGTAGGAACACACTTCGGCCGAATTTTTTGTTTTTTAGTCCTTTTTTGAAAAAATTTCATAAATATGTCCCTGAAGGTATGCTTTCAAAATCTGGACCATTAGCTCAGCGTCATCGTTGGTGGCGCCGATCTTACACGTCTCGGCGCCATAGATTTTGGCGCCTAGGTCTTGGGCTCGACGCAGACATGACGGTGACTTGGCAGGCAAGTTGGCGCCGTAGATCTTGGCGCCGAGCTTAGCGCCGTAAATCTTGGCGTCGAAGTTGGCGCCGTGGTTATTGGCGTCAAGCCCTGTCTTACGTATGGGCCCTCCCTTCCTTTCTCTCTTCCTCTCTCTCTCTCTACTGCTCCCGAGCCAGGGCGCCACCAGCGCTGCCGCACCGACGCGCCCGCCGCCACGCGTAGCCCCGCCCGTCGCCGACCCCAGCCCGTGCCCACGCCCTCGCCTGGGCCCATGCCCGCTTGCAATTGTGTCAATTACTTGTATATTTCTAAGTTTATGTTTCATTGTATATTGAATTTCTATTTTATTGACTTTTTTTAGGA